GTAGTAGTAGTAGTCGTCGTCGTCGTCGTCGTAGTAGCAATACTTGCAATAGTAGCAATACTAGCAATGGTAGGAATGGTGTAGTACCAGGATGGACGCGGCGGGCACGCTTGCCCCGAAGTTGGCTTTGCAGACTGTATGTTTCAAGAATATTGTCGCACGCATGGTCATTGTTGGGTTTCATCACGTATATCAGGAACCTACGAGAACCCTGGCAGCCACATTTGGGGTTCGACAAGACCGACAGTATTATGGATGAAGGGAGAAACTGTTGCGATGTGATATTGTTGTAACCGGTTTGGATCGTAGTTTCGATTTGGGAATGCTTCGAGCAATCGCGCCGAACGGAAACCCTCATTTTGCGTGTGCACTGCCGTCACTCTGCCAGGCCGAGCCAGGACGTGTCTGTCCAGGCTACGGCGGGAGAGACTTTGTTTTCATAGAACACTGTGAGACATGGATGCTCTGTTCTCCGAAGGCACTAGAACATGGACGTCATGGACATGGATGCTCTGTTCTCCGAACGCACTAGAACATGGACGTCATCATGCTTGCTCGGTTCTCCGAGCGCACTAGAACATGGACGTCGTTTATGGTTGGGACATGGATGCTCTGTTCTCCGAATGCACTAGCGGCTAGTCACTAGCGCATGGACGTCATTGTGGTCGGGACATGGATGCTCTGCTCTCCGAACGCACTAGAACATGGACATCATTATGGTTGCTGGGCTCCGTCCATGAACCACAGATGAGACTGCTCCAGCACAGAACCAGTTCGCCAGCAACATCCATTGCTACGGCCCCTGAAGCCCAAGTTGACGGGCTGAAGGCCAAGACTTCAAGATTGAGGTTTACAGGGTTTCCCCTGGAGTGTTAAGGGTTTGCGGAGAAGGGCTTGATCAGCCTTGTCATTATGGGGAGGGGGGGGCATCTTCATCGTGGTCATCATCATGTCATGATCACCATCAGAATCAGTGTCAGTGCTAGCAGCAGCATCGGCAGCAGCATCGTCATGACAGAAAATCCGGGGCAAGTGTGCGCAACGCAGCCTAGTACTAGTTCTGGTCGCCGTCGTTCCAGTCAGCGTCGTAGTGGTCGTCCCAGTCTTGCAGCAGTCATCGTGGTAGTCGAGTCAGCCACAGTGCGGTAACCACAAGGACTGAACCGGCAACCACAGGTGAATCGAAAAAGAACAGCACTGAATCGGCAGAAGAACGACCCGCCGCGTCGCCTCATGCAAGAAGTCGGTGGATTGCTGCCCGAAACAAAGAAGAGGAATCAACATTCACGTCTTCGTTGCATGAAAGACGAGTCGGAAGAGGAGGACGAGGCGCAGGAGGAGGAGGAGGAGGAGGAAGGAGCAGGAGCAGGAGGAGGAGCAGGAGGAGCAGCAGCGGCAGCAGGAACAGAAAGAGATACCTGGCGGAGGCAACAGCAACAGCAAGGAAACAAAGATTTGTGCTTGATGTTCAGGTGCGTTTCGTTGTCGAACTTATGCCGAAGAGCCGAATGCAGTGCAGATGGCAACAGGACTCGTTACCGTAGCCTTGAGCTTTCCTGGATCCCGCAGTGCCGCCCAAGTAACTCCAACTCCACCGCCGGCGCCAGCTTCTTTTCGGGAGGCTTCAGCCTTCAATGGCCATGCGGATACCGAGGATCTGGGACTAGGGGTAGGCAGTCGTTGGGCAAGTGGTACAGGCAAAGCGACAAGGGTGCATTTTTGCAGTCATCCTCCAAACAGGCTCTGTTGGCAGACCTGCAGGTTTCACTTTCAAACCTCGGCTGTGTTTCAGCGGTGGCTTCCCACCGACATGCTCCTAGCATAAAGAAAGCATGTCCGGGCTGAAGCTTACATAGAAGACTAGAATCACAGGCATCACCACCATCATCGTCATCATCATCATCACCACCATGAACATCATCAAAGACTTGAAAGAAACAGATCGCGGGACAATAAGAGAAGCAGCGAAGCCTAGCAGATTAACCCTCGCCAACCTGTGAAGCAGGCATCATCAGCCATGCTTCAATACGACAATGAAGATGGTAGGATAGTAAACCAAGCATTTGTGACAACTACGACGGTAGCAGCGATGTCAGCTTTCGCAGCTATGGCGGCAACAACGGAGATGGTGCTAGCAAAAACCATAGGTACATGAATATACTTCACATACATCTGTTTGCCGCTGACTGTCTCAGTGTGAGTACGAGTGCATGTGTATATATGTTTCTACTCTATGAGGCAACAATTCAATATACATATGCATATACATATACATATACATATATATGTATATGTATACGTATGCACATACCGGTCCCCACGCAAGAGTGGCTCTCTTGCCACAATATGCATAAGAAAGTTCTTCTGTTCTTGAAGCGAGAGACGAGAGAATGGCAACAATCCCTACTGAGATGACCGTGTATTGCAGTAATGCTTCTCATGTTCAAGGTAACCTCTGGCAGGCCTCCGTGCGTCGGCTCCAGGATCTTCCGAGACTTCCAGCCTTGGCCAACAGTGATGCGCGAAACAGTCGTCGTCAGAGTGGTCGTTGTACTGGCAGGAGCAGTAGCAGTGACAGTACCAGTAGCAACAGCAGCAGCTGCAGCGGTAGTAGCAGCAGGAGCAGGAGGTAGTCTTAGTTGTTGGTGTTGTAGCAGTGGTAGTAGCAGTTGCAGTAGCAGTGGCAGTAGCAGTGGTGGTAGTAGTAGTAGTAGTAGTAGCAGCAGCAGTAGCAGTAGTAGTAGTAGGAGGAGGAGTAGGAGTAAGAGTAAGAGGAGGAGTAGGAGAGCTGCTCAGTCGGAGTAGGAGAGCGAGCTAGGAGTGGGAATGAGAGTAGGAACAGAGAGTCGGAGCAGCCTTGGCGGAATTATATAATCCTGTGATTGCGAGAAGAATGCGAGCAAGCACCGCACGTAGGTTGATTGTAAACCCAAAGTGTCTAGCACAGCACAAGCATGAGATCAGCACAACCACTCTCCGGACGGCGTAACGACGCGCTCCTCGCGAGGGGGGGCCACCTCAGCACCGGCAACATCTCCCAACTTTATTGTACGTTGTGGTACATTATTGTTGTCATGGCGTACTTTACTTTTTGATGGTATGCTGTATTGAATTGTACTATATTCGATTCTAGATATGCGTTGCAGCTAGCTTCCTTCCCTTGGCTCGATTTTTTCTCGTTTTAGCCCCTGGCCAGCTTCTCCCCGCACTGCGGGCAGAAGCGGCCAAAGTCCAGGCGCTGGCAGGCAACGCACCATGCCTCCCAGTTGAGGGTTTTTGGTAATTCAGGGTTTAGGGTTTAAGATTTAGGGCTTCGGATGGAGTGAACCCTTTCCCGGCCTTGGACTCCGCGGCTCTCGGTGACCTGGACCGTGGCCGCGAAGTCTGAGGATGGTCCGGCTTCACACCTTGGAGGGCTCTCTCTGCTTCAGAAAGACTGCGCCTGGTGTCCGGGTGTCCCTACCACCACCTGCTGCATCTTTGGGCGTGGATATGGCATCCCGGACCTTCAGCAATCCGAGCATGCTTCGGCCAAGACCGAGTGGAGTGGCAACGAGAGACTTGGGATACCACCCAGCGCAAAGCAGCAAGGGAAGCCCTCATGGCCTGGAGTGATGCTGCCAGAGTTCAAAACCAGAAGTCATGATGCAAGAAGTCCAGCCACAAAACTCCGACAAGACTCCCTGCACATGCCCAACAAAACATGCCGGCTCTGCTTCGGCGCCAGATCCAGCAGCGCTGGTCAGCCCCAGCTGAACTACTAAAAGCTGATTCTCGCGTTCACCCAAGGAGCAAATGCCCTCAAGTACTCCGTGGCAAGTACTCCGTGGCTTCTTTAGTACTGTCTGGCCTAATTGGACTTCATGTTAGCCCCGCAACAGCTTGAAGAAGACAGCAACATCAGCAAGGCTTGAAAAAACAGGGCGAGTCAGATTGAGTCAGAGCACGGCTGCACTCTGCGAAAGCATGTTTTGCCCTTGTGGACCTCATGCGTGCGCTCTCCTTCCGTCTTCATCAACCCATGCTTCGGCTGCAGTGGGACAGCTAGCAGGGGTGAAACAGGTTCGTACTGTCTCCATGCTTCCTACAGGGCCTTTGCACTGTGAATTCCTAGAGTCCTACACTGCTCTGCCGGCACCATTCCATGCCTCAGATTGCAAGCCGCTCGCTGTGCGTGTTCACTTCCATCAAGATTGCGACCGCTCACATTCTCTGCTGCATGTGGTGCCGACACCTATCTACCACTCTGAAGAGGAGAGCCAAGCTCACAGCTTGACGTGCCTTTCTGCCCCCCCCCCCTACCCCGGCTCCCACTGGCTTTGCCAGCGCCAGAAGAGGTTGCGCTGAGAGGTCTTTGTCGCTGATGATGGCATAGCACACCGCGCGTCCCTCTTTAGGAGGTGGAAACTGCCACGTCGGTCGCATGACAGTGGCTTTCAATCGCAGGAACCCCAAGCATGCCCACTCAGGCGACAGGACACCACAATCCGAGAGCTTGCTTCCTATGCGTGGACTTGCCTTCGTCCATCTCTGTCTATCTGACAGTGTGTCTGTGTACCTGCGCAGGACTATGGGTCGGAGGTCCGACGACGTGAGACGCTTCGCTAGCGCTATTTTCAAGCTGGGGCCGTGCATGAATTCCTCGTTGCCGAGAGTACATTGACAGAAGGAGCCAATCTTCCCCTACCAAGGAAGGTGAAGGTGAACCCTAGACTCAAAAAGTCTATAAACTATAAAGCCCCGAGAAATCCTACAGACCCAAAACCCGTAACCCTTCACCATAGGGGATTAACGAGCCTTCACCTTTCTTGGGCAGAGCAAGGTTGGCCTTCGCAAGGTCACCAGACACCCAGACCAGTGTCTGGCTCGCTTCCTTGCTTTCAAACGCCTAAACCCGAACATAGGATGTGGAAAACTAGAAGTCCCTCACTGGCTAAGTCTTCGGTGGTGAACTTCTCTAAACCGTGTCCAGACGAAGAGCCACTTCCAGCTCCGCCTCTCTACACGGAGCTTCTGTGCAACTGCACCGCCGCGAAAGCGATGAGCCACATTGACACAACAGGAACCGTATGAGCTGCTCGGGCGGCACCCGTCACTGTGACCTCTCCCAGAGTGCAGAAACGACCGGACTGGTGGGAGCTTGAAGAGGACAGGTGCAGGGACGCACAAAGCACAAGGAGCATCCTGCGATGCACGGCAGCGGGCCTTGTTGGTGGTGCTCGCCTGTCCCGCAACATCGGTAATGTTGATGACCTGAATCCAGATCCCAAGGTTACTTTACCTATGGGGTGTCAGCATAGTCAGGTCTAGTACAACTACTACGACCAGGTTATTATAAGGTAACTACACTGAGGTTAAAGGAACCCTAAACCCTAGTAACCCAAAAGAAACCTCTAAAACCCAAGTCTGACAACTTAAAACCTGAGAGGTCTACGGTTACTTCAAGGTTGCTATAAAGTTACTATGAGATTAAATAGTATGAGGAAATGTGAACCCTAAACCCTAAGACCTAAACCCTAGACCGGTTAGTTTATCATCGTCGGCTCCAGACAAGCCCTTTGCATCCTACCCAGCCTTCCCATGGAGGAGGCCAGAGATGGCGACGAGGACCGTGGCTGTCCGACCATTCAGGCGCGCGTCCGTCAAATCTGCCTCAACGGCGACCTCGGATCTTATCCTATATTGTAGCATATTATGGTGTAGTTTATTCGTATATTGTAGTGTACTATAGTACACCATCTTAGTCAGTATGGCATACTACATTATACTAATTATGCTACATTACATTTGAGATTACTGGAGGCAAGGCTTGGCTTCGATTCCCTGCTGTGCGCGCCTGGTAGGACCGCGTCTCGCAGCAACCTCCGGCGGCGGGGAGCGCGCGCCGCGGGACCGTAGCCAGAGCGGGCAAGGGCAGCGCCTGGTGGACTAGAAGGGATCCATTCCAAAGTACAGTATGGCATAGTACAACAAAGTACACTATAGTAGCGTGTAGATTGGCAAGGAAGGGCTCCAAATGACTTTAACTGTTTTAGCTTCAGTTGTCAGACGCCGAAAGGAAGATAACTGTGGCGTGAGAACAAGCCTGGCCGCACTCGTCCGCGAGCAAGATGTCGTAGCCGTCCTCAGGGCACACACTTCGATGACTGCCCCAGTCATGGAGGTGTAACGTTTAGAGTCTGGGGCACATCGATTGCGAAGATGCGATGTGCGTGGGATGCCATGTGTCTTGACATATGCGGCCTTGTTCGGACATCCTTTGTAATGTACTACAATGTTTTACTTTTTAGTATCCGATATTAAACTCTATTCGAGTGCTTGTACTCTTGGAGTTATACTATATTATGTGTAACTATGCCAAAATATTATGATGTATTATGTTGTCTTCCATTCGGTTCCACCAAAAGACAGTGTATCTTGCGTTGCATCTTGTCTTGTAACATCGTTTTACAATATATTCTAGATTACATTAGATTACAATATATTACATTGTAACCTCATATTGACGTTGTATTACATTGTGTTACACTGTACTACATTATAAAACTACAATACCGTAGATTACATTGGATGGCTTAGATTGCAATCGGTTGCAGTCGGCTACACTCGAATGCACTAAGTTCTACTCTGTTATATTGGATTTTGCATTGTAAAGTATTGCGGTGTTACTCACTCTATTCCTTCACGGTACAGTGTATAGTCTTGTAACGTATAATAATATATTGTACCATGATTCATTGTATCGCGCCATATGCTACAAGAGACCATGCGATAGCATATAGCATGTTGTGTATTATACTGGATTTGCATACTTGCTTTACTCCAACCTACTATGCTACCTATCCCGTACTATTCTGCACTATGCTGCACTATGCTACTCTACTACTATACTGCAATACACCATGTTCTACGTGATTTTCGCCAATTGTGTACGATACGACGCTGTATTGTACCGTGCAGTACTACACTACATTGTATTGTATGATGCTGCTTGATACTATTACGACAAGCTACTCTACTATATGGTCTACGATATGTCGGACTGTACTATATTGTAAAACAGTGTGTCATACAATATAGTATCATACATTGTCTGTGCGAGTATGTGATTGTATTATGAACTATTGCATCGCACTGCAGTGTATGTGCTTATGCTGTGTTGCTTTACATAGAACTGTATTGCATTGTATTGTACTGTATGCTTGTATCATACTACGATATACTGCGATGGATTGTACTTACTACACCCCATTGTACTACATTCCCCGTGTACTCTTCATCTCAATCCAAAGCAACCAAAGTCCAAGCATGCCCGACCCAGCCAGCCGGGCGTACGACAACGTCAGTGGAGCTGGCTTTTACTCCAATAAGCACTTTTATGTATATTATACTATATTATATTATATTATGAGGTTCAGGCCTTGGGGCTTCAGTATGTTGACGATTGATGATCACCCTTACGATCATCACTGTGAAAGTTCATGATGATGAATACTAAATTAACGATTGGTTTGCTGGTACATGTCGCACATGTTACTGCTTGCCACCTCAGTCATTCCTAATGTTTTTTCATCAAATCCGCACTATGACTGCCACCAATCTTGCAATGCATCTTCTGGCCCTGAACAATAAACTCTAAAACCCCCAGCCGTAACCCTGAAACCACAAAAATCCTATCGCTCAAACCTGCTCTTGCTGCCCAGGCTTCGACGTGCTCCTCATCGATCACACCTTCGACCTCCGCTGGTCCAAAGGCAACCTGGGAAGCTTCAACTTGCTTAATAAGGCTTCAATATGGGCTTTAATATGGCTTTAATAAAGCCTCAATGAAGCTTTAATAAAGGGGACTTGGACAAGAGCTTTGAAGAAGCCTTTATCTGGCCTGTGGGAAGCGAGTCTTTAGGGTTCTCTTTGTAGCCGGTTTAGGCTTTGGGCTCTTAGGGTGTGGGCTTAGGGCTTCTACATCTGCCAAGATAGGTTTCAGAGGGTTGAAGGTTCAGAGTCAGGGCTGTGGGGCAGATGGGGTTCAGAGCTCAAAATTCTGGGGGAAAACCTAGCAACCTGCAGCTTCTATGAGGCTCGAACCACACCACGGACCATACCAGGTCGGTCGTCGTCATCGATGAAAGGTTCCACATGGCAAACATCCGGGGAGACACATCCCGTCAGAGCCTCAGCTTGCAGCTATGTCCAGCGAATGCACTGCAGAACAGTCGGAGTGCAGAAGATACTCAGCTCTATCCCACAACATATGCTTACAGTGAACCTGGTTCCAAAACAAGGAGCTGGTTCCTGCTGGCACTGCGGCGACTCCCCACAGAACAGGGTGGGCCGACCCACGTATCCTGGAGCACAACGAAAGGTGCCTGGTGGACAAGCAGCGGCTTCTGAGACGGCATGGGCGGTGGAGCTGCAAGCTTCATGCATTCGGGGGCCAAGGGCACCTGGCTCTTCATCTTCAATGTAAGCAGCCGGAACCTGCAGCTGCCGACTACGTCTGACCTTCCGATACAAACTCTGTGAGTAAGCTCTGGGCTGCTTCAGGAGCCGGGCAGTAGCAATAAGGCTCCGCCCACTTCCTGGCCGAAAGCAGCTTGCAGCCCATCCCACCCTACTCCCTGCAGCCCGAGGCACATCACGTAGTCCGGATTTGTGTTACCTGCAGGGCAGATCATCTTCGGCGATCCGCCACTGAATGGCGGCCTGATGCACTGAAGAGGGGGTCTATGCGGGCCACTATAAGACTTCCCAGAGTTTGGGTCAGTGTAAGCATCAACTTCGAAGGCAGTACATCCTCTCAAGAGCATCAGGACCCAAGCTCCGTGGGCTCTCACGGAAAAGTCATAACAGGTTGCCGAGCGCCTGCACCGAAGGCGGCAGAAGCTGCCAGGTTGCACTCGATCACAGCCAAAGAGATCCTGAAAAGGTTTCGTATTACATTGCATTAACCTACATTACATTACACTACATCACAGTATCCTATCTTGTCTTATATTTATCTTAAGTTACAATTTCATTATATTGCCTTATAATGTTTTTGGCTATAGTATAGCATATCATATCATACGGCTTCGGGTGCTGTACGATTAGCAGTGCTGTGAACTTACTAGTTTAGCGGGGAAAGTACTCACCCACCCGCCCAAGGAATCCCAAAACATCCCAAAACATGAGGAACTTTTTGATGATGATTGTTATTCAAGCAAGCCACAACACCGATAAGGAGTGTCCCCCCCTCATCTTTTCTCGCGATCTTGCTTTTAGCCAGAATGGGCCTTAACCCTATAATACAGCCTTAACCGTATAATACAGCTCAGAACAGGCCCTAAACCCGATGATGCATCCCAGAATGGGCCCTAAACCCTATGATACAGCCCAGAATGCGCCCGAGACCCGAATACAACCCAGCCCTAAACCCTATAATGCGCCCTAAACCCTATGCATGATACAGCCCAGAATACGCCCTAGTATGC